TTTKRAAACGATTCCGTTTAATTAATTTCGTCTTGGACATCTCAAAAGAATGAAGACGGTTGATGTCGACAAGGAACAAGGATCGATCGCACCGATTTCCARAGGTCAATTCCGGAACAATAACACTCAAAATAGAACGAGTGATCGACGTAAAGGAATTCACATTCTTTCACGTGAAAATCGAATACAGGTCTCACATGTGTTTTAACTTTCCCGGGCATATTTCGCGCCATTTTCTGATACACGTTCATGATATTCGATAGATATCGTCCACCGGGCGTTGGAATTTGAGTTCMATTTTGACAGCCTAAGCTTTTCCCTTATTAGAGGACGTATTTTAAATATGTGATATTTACGTTCGTGTATATCAATAATCTACACTGATCAAATACCCAATCATATACGTCAGAACAGTAACTAGAATTGCCCAAGTCGGATTCTCCTTTTTACTTACGGAAATCGGTACATAATAAGCGCAAAACGCGAGATTTGAGACGAGAGTCGAGCATGGAAAGAAGTGTCTTAAGTGCGACGTGATTTTCGCAAAATAAAATACCTGTGCCACAGTTATGTGCTAAAAATATTTCAATGTGCGCACTTGTTTTTCCGGATGTTTCTTGGTAGTTGAAGAAGGAAATGTTATTTCGACCTTCTTGACAACGAATTTCCGATTGATTTGGACTCTCATCCAACTTGAGCGCAAGAAGAAAGTTTTTCACATTCCTCAAGCGTTACTGTTATTATTATTTTATTATTTGATGCAAATTTTAGGTGTATCCAGTCCCTTCCAACCTCCACGACAGAACTGCTGGTTTCATACTGTTAGACACTTGAAAATATTTAATGTGTTTGTGATTAACTGATTAAAATCACAAACACATTTTTTATATATATATTTTTTCTGTTGGAACATTTAATGAAGAAAATGTCGTTTGCTTTTCCCCCTTAAAATGGATATATAATAATCGTTATTTTCTTTGAGAATCTGACAAAACTTACACAATGGATGTGATTTTTTTCACCAGTTTTCATGAACAACAACCTTTTCAAAACCCGTTGGTATTAGATTTCGAAGGAAGCAATTTAATACTGGGAAACCGTCCCGGTGCCAAAAGGTTAATCATTCCTACGTCGATAAAAAAGGGAACTGGCGGCTCAAGAGGAAAAGTATGGTGCARTTTAAAATACTATATAGCATATATGCTTATAATATTGACTTCGAAATGTGTCAGTATTTCTGTCTATGAGAAAAATTGAACATTGCTACACGTTATTAGTGCTAAATTTGTACTATAATCTGCTTGAAAACTTACWATCATTAAGAGTGATATTAAGCAGTGATGTATTGGAAATTTTAAGTTAAAGTAGGTTCCGTACGCTCTAAAATACCTCCGTAAGAAACAAGAAACTTTGCGTTACATTACATCATGTAATTGACATACCTTTCATGTTTAGTTCGTACTTGGTCGATTTCTGCGGCTATTTGCTCTTGTTCTCTCTTCCTCTTAGCGCCATGACTGTACGGGTGCTGTATAGAAGCGTTCACAACCTTTAAATTACGCAAAATAAGATAACATTCGTGGTGTTCGCATTCGTGTTATTGAAAGAGTTGCGTTGAAAAAACAACGTTCATTCTAGTAATAGTTGTCCAGCCAAAAAGCGAGAGGGCATGGTGATACGACGGCTTKTGATTGACAACTTGATTTCTGCTGATGAAATCTATTGTCTTAAAGATTACACCAGTCTTGAGACATGAGTTCATTCTTAAATGATTGAATATCTCAAGAATGGGTATGGAAGGTCAGATAAAGAGATCTCTCACCTTGTGCGACAAATTCCTCTTTTGCAATAGGCTGAATGTATTCATAATCAGGTTAGACTTCGATAGGAGCGATATGAGCCACATTCGGACGACCTCACGCAATGGTAGCCTTCCCGTCAATACATGCTGTGATTTTTCTCGCGTACGGAATACAATTCGTGTTTTTTGCTACATTGTCAGCTCAATACACAATCTTAGGTGATGTAGAAGACCTGRAAAGCTGAATACAACTAATGGCGAAGATTTGTTGCCATTACAAACGTTTTTACAAATCTTGTGTGCACTTTGCTAAAAATGTGAAATCCAGTTTCGTAAATAATTTGCAATTTTTCGCGGCAATAATAATGCCGCGGCAATTTATTCGATGTTGTAACATAAATATAATTTGCAATTGCAATTTGCAAGAGCGCGTGAAAAGAATTTCCGCGTACAACCTGCATATTTATCAGTCACAACTTCTATGAATCGTCGTATCAAAGAACGAGGCGGAGSCGAGTTTTTCTCTYTTCGCTTTAGGGTAAGGGTAATTACGTTGATCTAGTCATATAATTAAGTCCAATATAATTAAGTTCAATATAAGAAACTAAAAAAAGGATACTACAAGAAATGAGAAGCATATGCAGACTTTAGCGTAAATTTTATAACAATTATTTCCAGTGACCGTTGCTGATAAGTATATACTGCAAAGGACCAAAAAGACGAACAAAATCTGCACAATAAATATTTTAGTTTTAAAGTTGTATTTTAATTTTGATTTTTTTACGTTATTTTTTAATGTATTTCAGAGGAGCTTAAGCAAAAAAAAAAAAATACTTGGAAGACGTCTGTTACCATTAGAACCAAATGTGGCCAATGACCTTAACCTTGGACGTGTCTAGCGCCATTTCCTCTTTCGCTGAGTGAAGTTGTTTTCTTTGGACGAAGAAAATTGTCGGTACATAAAGGCTCTGTACCAGTCTGACTAGTCARTGCTTACTTAACTAAAGAAAACAATTAATACTATACTAACTGAAATCTTTATCGCTGGATCTAGCAAAGGACATGTCACTACTTTAATTCCGCGWTCAGTTGAGACACATCATGATTACATATGTATGAAATAACAGGGAACTAACAGGTTCGTATCGGATCAGGGAACAGTGATCATATTAGTGCATTTAGTGGAATCTGTGATCAATGTCTTAAAAAATCGATTCGCAAGGACTTTATGGATTTCCTTTGATTTTGTAAATTTATGATCAGGTTTACATAGACCTCTGAAGCGTTTACGTCACCTATTTGATTTGCAATGCATCATGGGATCAGTTTCTTGAGGAAAAAAACCCGCCATGTTTGGTTACATATCTTATAATGCATTGCGTTTACGGTTTATGACGTAAATGCGCAGAGGTCTATTCTCTGTAAAAAAAATATCATGAGCAAATGAATAAATTGTCATTAACATTACATGCACCGCCCMTTGTGGCTCAAAACGTGCACCCCATACTACTTCCACCGCTTTGATAGCAATACTGTTATCATAATGAATTTCATATGTCTGTGAAATGAAACAGTTGCTAATATTTTCTTAACATTAAGTGGTTATATTAGAAAAGCTACATGAATACTCCTGTTTCGAATTCTCTTTCAGCTTCAATTAAGCATAAAACTTATTTTGCCTTTATTGTAGACAGAGTGTTTGCATTACAATTGGATCTCTGCTGAATAAAAGAATATATTGTATGCTTTCGAGGTGAAGGCTGCACAAATAAGATCTCGGAACTGGAGTATTGCTTCTTTGTATATATGTCAGTGCTTTTTCTCAAAATGCACCATTTCAAATGCATTAATAAGAATAATCACTTGTCTTTCTTTTTGTTGCGCTAACAACTACAGCAGCCATATCTCATGCATTATCATCAAAATCATTATCAAGACGCTTTCAAAAATACATAATCGAATTAAGAATATCTCCAACTGATTGAGATAGAAATCCTCTTTTATAATGAAATATTTAAAACCATCTACTAGGGGTTTTCAGCTAGTAAACGAGATGCTGKCGATAAGAGGAATTAATGATGAATTCTCTGTGGAATTTTCAGCGAAAGGGAAATATTTTGTATAAGTTCTATATGGCCGAAAGCGCTTACATATATATAAGTCCTCTGAAACATTTAGGTTGATATGAAAATGAAACTAGTTTTTCGGCAGATTTATGGTTCCTTAATGAGTGAAAGACGAACAAAATTAGTATAACAAAAGGGAATAAAGTTCGCTGAAATACAAATTTTGATCTTGCTACAGACTGTTATTACAATATTCTAAATTAAAACATCCCACAGTACGTTCCAATGATCTGAAAGCTCACATATTGTATACAAGTTACAAAAATGTTGTATTAAAAAAAAGCTGTTGTAGAGAAAACGAATATTTTACTTAGCTAGTAGTAGGGAGGAATTCTCCAAAAGGACAAGAGAAAATCATTAAGCTGTTCAAACGCTTTTTTTTTTGTCTTTTTCAATTCCTTTTTTCCAAGTATAAATGTTCTCCGACATCGCTATGACAAGATTTTTGTGCAAATAGCCGTATGTATGTATACAAGACAAAGTTATGACAATAAGCACGAATCGACAATCAAAATCAAAATCGTGATTAAACAAAATTTACATGTAAAATTTTGTGGTTGTTAAAAAAACGAGCTTGTCAACTCCAAGTGCGGCGTTTTATTTCCCTTTGGCTGTAGGTTTATTCATAATCTCAAGTTTTTTCATGGCGATTTATCAGCTTATCATTCCCAATTCTCAGACAAAAGCTGGCAGATTAAGATTAGTTATTTTGTATATATTAATGTTATCTTGAGTATAGACGACCGCAACGATGTTATCACTCATTATAATGGTCATATGTATCTTTCATTCCTATAAAATTCTAATGCACTTGCCATTCAACTCTTACAAGACACTAGTCCAAAAATGGCTATATAAAAGTTTCAGTACTAACACGGGCAACTAGCAAATCGGTAATTTGTAAAAATAATAATCTAAATTGCGAAACACCATTTTTGTGGTTTTCGTTTAGTAGTAAATCACTGATTACGTAAAAGAGCCGAGAGGATTTCCCAAATGAGATTTYCTWCACACTTTATATGGTCGGGATATTTTTAAATTGTCTGCAGTTTTAAGACWATTACACTAATTGCTCTATAGTGGCAGAAAACGAGCTTTACTACGACTAAGGCGTACATAGATACAATATTTTGAGATGAARAATCGGCGTCTAAAGGATTGCTAAACACCAGTTAGTTTTGCTAGCTGATTAAAACTGWAATATCTCSATRTTTTTCAATTCCTTTGGATCTAAGTACAAATAAGATGTGAATGCATAAATAATAGTAAAACAAAAAGATTTGCAACACATTTTTAACGAGTCGAAGTTTAGAATTAAACATTTCTTTCCAAAAGCCCGAAAAAATTTATATTTTTGGACGCCTCAATCACATTGGACAGCAGAAAATTATTGGGTGGTTAAATGACAGTTCGTACATCTTGCATTAAATATGGCAAAATGTTGGATGCTGTTTGATTGACAGTCATCAAACAAGGAATCCAATAACTGCCAAACTTTGGATGGAATTGGAGTCTTTCATTTTTTTTTTCTTTTGACTTGAAACAACTACAAACAAAAGTGGAATTGTAGCAGCAATTTTATAATTGTTATCAAGTGTAAACACTATCAGTCACACGCGAATAAATCTAAAGAAAGACAAATCCGAGTTAGCAATAACTTAAAATAACTTCATTTACTAACGTTGAGGTTGTGATTTCACTTGAAGTTTTGTATTATTCCTTCTATTCACATTCTTTAAGAGTAAAGATAATGTAAAAATCTCAAAAAATCTCCAACAAATAAATCATTAATASTTTATAAGCTTTAGTAACAAGATTCAGTTTTTCTCGTGTCACGACTTGGTTTCAATCCAAACAATCCCATTAAAAAGTAATCCAAGGGTAAAAAAACAATATAATGAATAAAAATCACCTAAAAACATTACAACAAGGCTACGATATATATATATGCAGCAGATTATCCAGTCAACCTTCAAGCAGTCTGTTCGGTTCAATTCTAAGGTGCTTAAAGGATTCAAACATACTGTTAAATTGAACACCAGATGAAACACATGAAAGATGTTATCATATTCTTAATGAGTAGTAGTATATTTTAGACTTGAGTGTTTCCATTAATTGAAAAGCGAGCGATGAGAATATGTTTAGTCTTCAGATRGTTCTCATTGGCGACTTTAAGTGGTGTATTGACATAATGGCGAGCTCTCACAATCAGCTAAATTCCACCAAGCCGAATTTCGGGGCGATTGTTTTAAATCCTTGACGTCTTATCTACAAATTGATTGAATGGAAATGAAGTGAAGACGTCATTGTTTCACGCCATTACAAAAACATCTAACGATGAATTTTTAATGGCGCTTGAATATTTCAACAACATGATGTCCAAGAAGTAGCTTGCGCTGGCACGTTTTTAAGTAATATTTCATTTAGAAGGACATTTATGTCGCAGATATAAGCTTCCTAGCACCTTGAAAGCTTGTGGTTTTGTTTTAAGGAGAAATAGAGCTATTTGAGGTSGAGGTGAAGGAGTTTTTTGCTGCTTATCGCGACGAAAGGTTAATGACGAATCCCAGAATGCGTAGCGGTCACGTCTGYAGCAGGTGCAGAGTCCGGTGAGCTTATTTTACCATAACAATGTGAATCCTATACATCAGTGTTGTATTGAAGCGTGTATGCATATGAAGAAGGCTGTGACGCTCATAAAAGGCATCTTGAAACTCCCAAAATTAAGAAGAAAGGACGTTTCGAAAGATGAAAGCAACGAATATGGAAATTTCACCAGACCTTTTATATCTAACTGCAAGGCTTTCAGGCCATGCAAGMGGTGTATACTTGTATACGAAAACACGATATGGGCCTCTCTTGAAAGGAAATTATTACTACAACACCACTGTGAGCTAGTAAATAGTGATTACGCACAAGAATTACAGTTTGATTCAACACATTTCGAATCTGACRCTGAAGTCTCCGAGATAGAAAATAGAATACGAGGATTTTTTARCTTCTACGGGCTTTGGAATACGAATCACGGAGAGTTGCCGCTATTCTGCAATAAAAGTTGTATGAGCCCAGAGTGTCTTACGGGTCACACATTCTTCTGGGCTGCTGATGACAAGACAAGAGAAGAAATTCAATTTGGKCCTCATTTTCCAACTTTTGTATTTATTACCAAGTCAACAGAAAAGTGGCCGATGCCTTTTTTGTACGAGGATTTAGATTTGATATTATTTCGAGSTAGTTTTGCTGTTTTACGTTCTCTTCTGGACTACCGGCAATTACCACAAGAGCTGACAATGGCATTGAACGCGGAGATCTGGGTYGTACTGTCTAAAATTCATATATGGAGTGCAAGTTTATTAAGTGAAGAAGTCCTGGTGTTCGAGTACCTGGATGGTTTAGTTTGGTCGGCGTTCTTTGAAGTCCCCAAATCGCGTGACTCCAGGGCCTTGCACTTAGAAGCCCTATACCAAGCAGTGGACCAAATCATGGACATTAGTCTCTACATTACATTGACCAGCGGAATTCCACCGGAGAATCAAAGTCACATCAAAGATACMATCATAGAGACTGCTACTGTAGTTACGTCAACAGCCGCCGAAAGCACAGCCACTGTTGGCATAGAAACCGCTGCTATGGCGATGGGCCAAGCAGCGGCTGGGGTTGCACTGTCGGTTCTAGTTGACGTGGGAATAACGGCGGGAATGGTGACCCGCGCCAAAATCCGTCGCGACAAAGGTCTTATATCTCAAAAGGAATTTCAGAAGACAGTTCGGTATAAACTTTGTGACTCCAGCTGTCAATTCATCGGGGGTACCGCAGGGACGATTGTCGGGCAGGTCCTGATTCCAGTCCCTGTGGTTGGGGCAATCGTTGGGGGGTTCTGTGGAAGCTTGTTGGGAGCAGGGGTTAGCAAAGGGATAATTAAAACGTCGGAAATCATTTCCAAATCTCAGGCGGCAAAGTTAAAAGCGATCACGGAAAAATAGAATGGGCATTTTTTTAGGAAAACTTCGCAAATAGATGATCATTTTGAAATCTAGGGCAGCAATTTAACAAAACCAATTACAGAAAAAAATGTGGGCATTTTGTAGGAAAACTTCGCAAAGACAAAGAAATGTCGAAGATCATTTCAAAATCTAAGGCGGTAAAGTTGAAAGCAAACACAGAAAAATAGAATGGACATTTTTTAGGAAAACCTCGCGAAGAGATTAGCAAAATGTCAAAGATCATTTCGAAATCTAGGGCGGCAAAGACTAAAGCAATTGGGATAAAATTCGATGGATATTTTGTGGACAGCCTCGCAAAAAGATTAGCGAAACATCGAAGATCATTTCGAAATCTAGGGCGGTAAAGATTAAAGCAATAAGAGAAAAAATTAATGGATATTATGTGGACAGCATCGGAAGGAAATAGGACTTAAATGACTGAATAACAAATATGATGGAATATGCAACAAAATATGCCTGATTTTTTCCTGGGTTTACAAGAATTATACTGAATGGAACAAACGGTGACCTTTTACACTATTACAAAGCGATAACAATTGAGGTTTTGTATGATTTGATGCATGTGAAGATATAATAGCAGAGTTGGCATTACATTTAGTGTTAAACCGTAACTTCAGAGTTATGATACAAAATGTTTGGGATAATATATAGGACTGAACATGAGTGATCTTGCTGAGCATGATCTTGCAATTCCTTATCCCACATGACTTAGTAAAAACATGCCTAATTTGTCTTTTTGCTGACGAAAAATGAGGAAATTGAGTTTATTTTGACATTTTGTACTTTGCAATAATTTGGATTAAAAAAAAATAGACATGAGGTCTTCTATAGATGCTTTGCCCAATAATACTGGAGATTATTGTGAAAGGTAGTTTTAAGAAATGAAAAGCATGGCAAAATAAATGAATTGGGAATATTAACATTGATTGTYGATCATTTACATTCAAAGAAATTCTTTACCCAGTATGCGCATGCTCCAATATGTTTACTAACAACAATATCCCACATGGATGGTAAATAAAAGGGCGGATACACTGAATGTACTCTAGATTGCACAAACTGGTTGGAAAAAAAATAAAAAAAGTAAAAAACAAATGGACGCATAAACGATCGTAAAAGGATGCTTTTGAAACCACACACTTTTACGTAATACGTTCTTAAATTAACGTAAGGATTTACGTATTTCATAGATAACGTATTTAGATTGTCACTGAATAACACGTTGTGTTGAATTCAGAGGCTAGATCTGAGRGAAGCATGCTTCACACCATTTGACAACACTATATTTATATTAAAGTTTTTTCGAATTTGAACAATCTTTCCAACTCCCTTTTTGTTCCCCCTTCCWTCCAATCCTCCCATCCAAGAAGAAAATTTACTGGGTCTGCTTCTGCGATCGGATTTACATTAAAACTCGACCAGTGATGAAAACTCGCGTTGTTTATCCAAATAGCGTCCAATTTTAAAAATAAATTCCCACATTGCGTAAATCTGTTGCGTTTTKCAGGTGTGTTCCGTATATGTCCCTTATTCTGTATATWTATGTACGTACATGAATGTAAGGTAAGCATGAAGTCTTGMGTATCCATATATCCTCCGWTCCGTCTACTTTCGTCATGAYACGCCGTCKGTGTATTGTGAATTACATGCMTCTTTGGTTTCATGGTAAACTAGTCCATTTTCTGTTTSTTCATCGGTAACTTGTCCATGTCTTAATCKCTGCCGTCTTCTTCGCCTTCGTCTCTTCTTTCTTGAAACATTATTGCTATCTTCACAGCTGCAATGATAAGTTTGACAGGTCCTGTTTAAAGAACGTAAGTGTTTTTTTTTTTTTCAAGTGTAAAGATTCGAGCTGCAGGCGAGTGTTTGCACATGAGAAAAAAACGAATTTACTTTCGGAAAGCTGTCCGCTTACTAGAGTGCACACAATTCGACTGTGTATGTACTTACTTTTCTTGCATAATTTCTTTTGCTTTTTCTTCTTTGCTACAATGTACCACGGCTCCACAGTCCAAYTGAAATTGGCACAAGGCCTTCAAGGGTTTTACCATATCCTGCAAGGAAATGTTTAAAACGTTTGTTTTCTTTAGTTCTTTATCAATTAAAACAAAAGAACTACAGCTGAACCTCAATTAAATCGAACCTCTATAAAGCGCTTCAAAATGAAGGGTAATGGTCGCTAAAATGAGGTCCCCTTAAAATAAGTTCAACTGTAGTTTTTTTCTGTAGTCTTTTTCACAAACGACAGAAAATCAAAATAACGTGAATAAAAATCAATAAAACTGAATTTATCCTTTAGAACTAGTATAACGAGTACTTAATAATAATATTTACAAAAGGAAAAAGAAAGATCCTCCACTGTAACATATGAATATTGACCTTATAAATACCATCATCCTCTTCTAATATAGACAATGTCAAAGCCACAGCTTCTACAGTTGAAAGGCTCTTRTTTGTTGGTTGAGTACGAATGACGTATTCACTAATGGTATCATGCTGCACAATGACCTAAAACACATTACAAAGCAGAATGACATTGCATTAAAACATGGTCTTTACTTGTCCAAAACACTCACACATACGTAGCTCCTTAATAGGTACACTGAAAAAAAAAGTCTGGGAAAATGGTACTTGACAGCAGTCCTCTTCACAATTTCAGCTTGAAACTCAAGATAACTGTCTTTGTATAATAATTGCCATTCTCTTCAATGAATATTGTCATATTCAAAAGAAAAACATGATTTTAATTTCTTATGTCTATGATATATAATGGTGAGTGAGTATTGGCCAGAGGCTTTTTATATTTTACGTACCTGCTTCATACCAGACAAAAAAGGRTTACAATAGAAGATGTTTCTTGCTTGTCTCCAGGTCCCATCAATCACGATAAGGTTATAGTTCGGGTAAAGTGAAAGGTCCACTGATTTAACATCAACAGCTTGAAAATCAAAACGCAAACAAAACATTATCAAAGAAAAGTTCCTTAGCAAACTTTTTTCTAAAAGAGCAGAGGGAGGGGGCATACACTGCAAGTTTAGGCAATCTATTCATGTCAAACAGAATATAGGCATTAATCAGGACATCATAAATTGTGATCAAATAAAGATGATCAGATTATCAAATTAAGTTACAGGTTTTTTTTTAAACAGTATTAATATACATTTGTACATTCATCCTACCCTGTAAAGTGCTACTTGCATGAAAATGGCCTTAAGCCTCAAGCAAGACAAATACATGACTAATTTATATCTATTAAAAACAATTGTGGGAAAATATTTGTTTTGGAATTATCCCACATCAGGGAAATTTTGATTCAAAAGATGGAAGAACAAAAGGATGGAGTAAATGACATCATCTACTCCAACATTTTTTGCCCAAAATATTAAGGATTTGTATCAATATCTTCTTGAAATCTGTTGCTTCGTGATTATTAGACCCACATGGATAGGTCTATTTGATTTCCAAGTCTTTTCTAATGTTTTGCAATTTTCGTCCAAGTAGCCCTTGTAAAAGCCATAGCCTCATCATAACGACTAATTTCATGATTTTTTTACACAATTTATTATTTAATGATCATCTTATAATCACACTCAAGGACTTACATAAATTTGTATGCAAACAGCACAAACAAACAACAAACAAACAAACATCATTTAGTACAATATCATGATGACCATGTGGCAGACCAGAGTAATGGATAGATTATTTTACTATACAAAAAATAGTWATTTACATAGCACTCACCCCTTGGGCCTGGATATAAAAGGAGTGAGTTGGGTTGTTCAAGAACTTTGTGAAGCTCAGGAAAATCTATYTTGTTGAATCTACGTTCTCTGTAGATTTGGCATTTAYTTGGYTTCACACATGCTTGTATTATGGGAACTGTAGTCAGCAATCTAGACTCCTGCATTCAAGAATAATGTATTCATATTATATATTCATTATGTATAAGAGTGAGTTAACAAAGCGGTTGGAATAGACTTTGGCATATGCATTACTCAATGATAAAAAATGGTAAATGAAGTGAYAGTGAAGTCAARGAATAGGTAWATAAATTATAGATGGATGGATGAGYTAGTGAATAAATKTTCAAGTGACTTAATGYATGGATAAATGCAGGAAGRAATAGAACACTGMATGAATGCATAAAATGTATGAATTAATGAATGATTAAATGAATGGATGAGAATGGGCAGATGGCTGAAATAATGGAGGACTGAATTAATGGACAAATTAATGGATGAATAAATGGATATAAGATTACATGAATCAATAATTCGATGTGAATGAATGCATGGGAGTAGATGGATGGGTAGAATGAGCTGGTATGGAGGGATAGTTGGCTCAAACTATTCCATTTCAATCAAATAAATAATCATATATTATATGTCTCTCCTTTCAATGATTCACCTCTTTAGGGTGCTGCAATACGTGGATGTTGGTTCTGATATCRAGAAAAGTTTCGGGAAGATGTGGRCACAAACAAGTTGAAGCCGGGCGCCTAAAAATAAAATTTYAKCCACGTAATTAGAATAAAATAAGAWATTTTATCACAGTTATAGGATATCTCTTACYTGCATCGCTTGCACGTTTCYCGTCKTTCTGATTCTCCTGTAGGCAAACCTCCAAAAGCCCGCAAAAGTTCACTTTCATCATCTTCGTCCGCCATTTTGATTTTTACTTACAAAAACCGCTGACAACCTTTGCGACCGCACAACTACCCAGCATGCATTGTTGTTCATTAAAAAAAAAACATTTATAACAATTTTGAAAGCATATAGAGTTATGTGCTTTCTTTTGTAGTTGCATTTGTATGATTTTTCTCGAAAAATTTCTGTAAAAATATAAGATTTTTGGGAGAATTTTTTTTTATTTTAAAACTTGAGACTGTTATACTTGTGACCAGCGGATGCCCAAAACAGTGAGAGATTCCAAGATGGCGCCCATGTCGGGAGCGTTTCTGAAAACACTAATTTCTCCTTGAAGATTTGATCGGACAATAATGAAATTACATCAAGTATTGACAGGRGCTGCTAATACTTATGATGACAAAGCGGCYATTGATGTTGGAAGTGTTGAAGATTATCCATTTACGGTAAAACTACCTCAGTTTCACTTGACTCCATTTGGAATTTCTCCTTGTGAAAGGAACTAGATTCTATCTTTGTGTGTTTTGATTTGAATGCTAGATGTCTATAAAAAGTGTACTGATTCAGTGATTACGTTTTGTACAACCARTAGAAAAGCTAGATTTGTTGATTTTGCATTTGTACACATCTCAGAGTCATACGATCATCAATTCTTGTCGCAAAGGTCAAAACATCTCTAAGATATAGCGAAACATCATAGAAATACGGACTATGGAGCGCGTGTGCTGCGATTGAATGGCTTTACAGTATATTAAAGGTTTTTTTTTTTTCGAATTAACACGGGGCGATTGGCAATACTTACAAATCAACCTGTCATAAAAACTTAAATTATATAGGAAGGGAATAATACGAATGCATGATTCATCATTTTCGATTCTGTTTTTGTACTTTAGGCATATGCATCAGGATGTGATGTAGTCATTCTTCTAAGCGGTTTCACAAGAGTTCAGATCATTCCMGGTTCTTTGTATGGTTACAAAGAAGTCAGCTGTGTGGATTGCTGCGACACTGATGGCAAGGTGAGACTTATATGTAGTCAAAAATGTCACCTCAACTATTATTGTTACATTAGACCCTTTCTATTTAACAGGAATGATGTCCCTTCTGGGGGACAAAACAATGGATTTCTAGCTCCTAAGAGATTGATAATCATTTGTTTTGTCCCACAGATGACATCCTTTGTTTGCCCCTACTCTCCTCTTAATGATCACACTCCTCAACCCCCCCCCCCCCCCCACCTAATCATGACGACACATACAAGGGTGGGTTACCTGTATAATATGATATTGTTCAGTGTGGTAAATAAGTCATTTATTGTATTTATTATTTTAGATTGCTGTGTCATATGGACCAAAAGTTGTCACATTTAAAGCTAAACCAGCTGTAGAGCCTGCTGATCATGTATGTCCAAAATCATATWAAAATGACATTACTTTGAATTCGTTCTTTATATTTTACTTTTAGTTATTGTTTATTGATTAATTTGGTATCAATTAAGATTGCAATTTTATTGCTCAAGTGATTATAGTTGAAGAGTTGGGTTGATTGCCTTTTAATCAATTATTAATCAATTAAATAATAACCTAATGATTGATAATGTCAACTGAGACTTATATATCACATTCACATGTGTACATGTACATATTAATCAAACAGTCAAAGTTTACTGACACACTTTTAAAATTAAAAATTTAAGTTTAAATAAAAAAAATAAAAAAAATTGTTTTAATCTCGACTGCTAAAAATTATTTTAATCTACTTGTACAGGGATTTCCCTTTCACTGGGAGCAGTCCTCAGAACTCTGCTTGAAATTCAAGATTACTTGTTTGTCATGGAACAGAGAAGGTATTAAGAAAATTAACTTTCAATTATTGACAAAGACCAAACAACARCAAAAAATGACAAAACATTGATCGATAAACCTAAAGCTCTTTTAAATTCCACTTATAGTTTTGTARACTTATTCCATAAGYCGTAGTATTTGCTCCTCGATTTTTTGGTYAGCAAAAAAWWGAGCGRCCTGAAAGACTGGTGGAATCAGTCTRATAGTTTTGTTTTTGTTGTAAAAGTTTGATTGTTTATTTTTAAGTTTCCTTCTTTGTGATCTATATACACCAAATGTTTAATAACATATTATTGCTAATTATATTAAAATTCAAATTGATTTTCCAAGGAAAAAGACTCCTGATTGGTGGAGACTTCCTCCAGCTSTGGAGCTGTGAGAGAGACACTTTGTATGGAAACTTAGACTCATCCARKGAAGAAGAGTTTTGGACATGTGTCTGGACTTGCAGGTAAGATACTGTTTCTCAATAWTAACCAGTGGCTGGTGAAGATTATTGGTTAGTTATATAACCACTGGTTTCTTCAGATAAAAATATTTGTAGTTTCCTTGGTAACATGAAGAGCCTACAGAATGTACATGTAGAGCTACTTTTACTACTCAGAATAGCTGGCTACTATTTTGTCTATTGTTCTACCACACTGATGTTTTATTCATCATTGTGCAGTGAAACAATAGAGCTCACAACAACATCATTCTCTTGTGGAAAGCAATAATTCTTTATATTTATATGACATCAGAGCAGTTGTTGTTATCAAAGATATGATAATTTTTTATCTGACTTTAAAACATAAAATCAAAGCAAATAAGGGATCATTGGTCCTTTGAATAGAAGTAAGTAACATACTAAAATATGATTTGTATTTTTAGACCTGCAGTTCCTATTTACATTGTTCTGTATTCGCCTGATGGTCAGTACTTTGCTTCTATAGGAAAGGTAGGGAATCATTCTGTCTGTCTGTCTGTGGTTGTGTAAACTCTCTGTCTGCCCATATGTAACCTGTCTGTCTGTCCATGGTTGTTTAACATCTCTGTTCGTATGTCCGTCTGTAACCTGTAACCTGTCTGTCTATCTGTTTGTTGTTTTGTCTTATCCAACCATCCTTGTCAACCTGAAAAACAACCCCTTCAATCTTACTATAAATGATCTTCTAAGCTGACTGTTTCCTTGTGTTAACTCTCAAGTCCAGCTATGTGTATAACAAAGAAAGATAAATATAGTAACAAAATTGTTATATCATGTGTTATACATTGGTATCAATCTCTTCATCTTGTTTGTTTTTATCAGAATGATCGATTGGTAAAAGTTTGGTTTGAACAAAGTAAAGGTGAACAAAATAAAACCATTCATGCATCTASTTGTAGATTTGTATTATGAATATTTTTCTGTGTGTGAATATTAATTTATTATTTTCTGTCTGCCTAGTTAATGCTCCATCTCAAGATAASCTCATGGCATTTCCTGAAGAAGTAGACTTTTCGTTTGTGTACTTGGCCCATCCAAAGTCTGTCACTGGATTTGCTTGGAGGAAGACTAGTAGATACATGCCTRTGTAAGTACAGACTTACCCTCCCTGGTACAAATTCTAGACAGGGCCTGTAAGATCCTTTGAAATCCTGTAGGATCTTGAATTGGATCTTCTACAGGATCCTAGCCAGGATTTGCACCACATTTAGTCATACCACATATGTTTGCAATGTCGTTTTTTTTTTCTTTTTTACACTGAATTTTCAATGTTGATCTGTGTCTGTGTGACCCTCAAAGAGAGGATAAAGTTATCCACTTCATAGATTATGCATGATTTGTATCCRTTGGGTAAGGATTTATTACAAGGGAATTAACTCCATAGGATTTTTAAAGAGTTAACCTAGAATCAGCTATAATCAAGCTGTGAATAACCTGGCCCTGGAATACAAGTCTTGTGAATACAGTATGCCCTAATTAATACCATTGCACAGACATATAGAATGCAAAATTTGCTCACAATTCATACTACAACAGTTAATCTGTGTACTGAATTGTTGCTGACAATCATTTGTTTGATTTTCATTGATAGTTCTTCTGTGGCCAACGTCCTCCTAACATCATGCGTAGACAACATATGCCGAATATGGTCAGAAACAATGAAACATGGTCATCAAATGGAAGAAGCTGCAACACAGCCTTTGGCAGGGAACTACAAATGYCCAAAACATAAGAAACAAGCCTATGATCCTCTCTCAAAACACAGGATGACATCAGCTCTTCATTTCCACCTTGCAGCMATGATAAATCCTTTGAATGACATTCCTTTGTTATCCTCTATGGGGAATTTCTCACCAAAAGGTACAAAATCATGTGATATGATGTACAYTGTAGGATGGGGTCCATTGTTCAAAGGGTGTATTAGTATAGCACTATTTATATGATAAATGCTTTATACAGTCATCTCTCGCCTTACAGACACTCCGCTTTAACAGACACCTCAATGTTTATGGACAGGAAATACTGAATCCCCGGYGAAAAATACAAAGCAATAACTGGGAGTAACTCCAGTTACTACGGACTCTCGCTACTTAGTACACTAAATTATGGTCCCAAGGGTGTCCGTAATAGCGGGAGTTTACTATACAGTGGATTAACTCCATATGAAATTAGCCTTCAAAGCCGGCGTTCCTAGTTGCTCCATGAGAGTTTTGGCTGGAGAATGGGTTTCTCTTTTCCAAACTGTCTTGGAGCAGCTAGGAACACCTGGCTATGCAGACTGACATGAAATCTATGCTGTGTGTATCTTTGTTGAATCTCTTGCTACTTGTAGGTTTTTTTGTGAGAGATATTTTCAACATTTGAAGATAAAATCTATATCTCTGTGGGMCTATGTAACATTCCCATCCAACATGTATGGTGGAACATTTCACAATAGCAAACACAGCCATAATTGGTAGCCAAGCTGTAAAAATATCCTGTTTATTGATATCTGAACATTTCTCATTGACCAGGCTTATACAGCTTGAATTTGTTTGTAAGATTTAGACACTGCTTCAAAACTCTTATTAAATCATCTATTTTTCTCTATCAAAGGTGCTCAGAGCACATTCATGTTACATTGGCTTAACAACAAGGAAATGCAGTATACTTGCTCTGCCGAAGCCTCACTTGGTATCACACCTATGGGATGTTCTGAGGTGCCTAGTGTTGATGCAAGTGATGACTCTTCAGAGGACGAAGAAACTTCTTCTGATTTTGATGTTCTTGGAAATGGTGTCAATAATGTTTTGGATGAAAAAACACGATTAGGAGAAAGTGGTCAAGATAGAATGGGTATGCTTATTTTATGAGTCTATAACACATAATTATTAGTAGTAATAATAATTTTGATATGGATTCAAGTTTTTAATTGACTTAAAAAACTCCAATACTGATTTCAAACTTCATGCTTATAAGATACCTGGACAAATGGGTGTAAGTTGTTTTTTTTTTAACCTAGTATACAGAAAAAAAAACGTTTAAAAACGTTTCTTCGTTGTATGATAAGATTGAAAATCTGTTGAATTCGTGATGATAATTTAACGAACCCAAAAATGATTTGCAAGATATTGCATTCATCTCCAGCGTCTTCTAGCGTAGAAATCAGGTGGAATTAACTCTCCGGATGGCGGACCAAGTGGCCGTGTTTTCATCGTGTTTTCATATTTTTATGTCTGATAAATTTTAAGCATGTGAGCAAACATGCTAATCTAATTGGCCTAATAAACATTATTTTAGCTCTTTTAAAGCACACTTGTGACCGATTAGGGTGCAAATTAATCAGAGCTGTTTGCTCTACAAAATGTGATTTATTTATTTTCAGAAATGAAGCCTTTCGTATCCAGAAAGCCCACCTCGAGTCCAGTAAAGAATGAACAAAGACCTCTACCCCCACCACGCCCAAGAACACCCCTGGAATATCTTAAAGAACTCCAATCAGACAACTATCCAACTTCTGCTTTGWCARCAACATTCTACAACTACATCACTAATGTGGTCGGCCAGCTTCTTCGRGAATGGAGCCAAAGTCATGACACATTGATCGCTGTTCATCCCATTGATGGCTCTCTGTTAGTATGGCTTGTAGAGTGGCTGGATGTGCAATCAAGGAGTCAGTTCAGGCARCCACAAGTTAGTTTTCTATCCCGCATTCCAATGGCCATTCCACCAGCTGATGCTAACTCRCTGTTGCCGAAACTGTATGTGTATTGTCCTCGAAGCGACAAGATGAAAACACTTAGAAGACAGGTAGTGAATAATAAAGTGTTAATAAGTCAAGCTATCATTTCCTTAGTTTACTGTAAAAGTATAATTGTAAATACAAAGATGAAAACCTATTCATCGTGAAAATACATTAAATTTCTGAACATTGGCACAGTACACATATTGGTCATTTGATAGTGTAAACGTTACCATGTTATGTTTCGTTTCAAGGTTTCCARGTCTGGAGGTATGTCACCCAAGGCACTTAGAAACAAATTTGGAGCATCTTCAAGTGGTGCCCAGGCAACAGCAGTCATGGTGTCCACGCATAGAGATGGTGCTCTAAACCACTGGAAACTAGTGTTCGCAGACAACAGTCTCTTCTCCACTGTTGTCAGTATATCTCACGTTGCTAGGAGATGTGGTCATCGTTATCCAATCACGACCATTCTAGCACATCCTCAGCTGCCRCTCCTTCTTTCAACATCGAGTCACGTGATTGAACCAGGTTTTGGTGGAAGCAGTATGCATGATTCYYCRAGAAAATCYGCTGATGAAAAGGCTAAAATTCATTGCAGTGAGCTGGTTGTGTGGCGCGTTGAAACCGTGTCCCCTCTAAGACAAAGTGGAGGCGTTCTGGAGCTCACAAGAATACATTCCGGTCGTCCAAATGCTTTTAAAAACTTTGCTTGGGTTCCTACYTTATTTTCACACTCTTTACTAACATTTGAAAGCCACACATCCCTACCCCCTCAGGCAGTTGCTCCCTGTGTGTGCTTCCTGGCGTTTGATGGACAGACATATCGTTTTTATCAAGTTATACTTGACGCTCGCATGTTACAATCGTTTATATCCAGTCACAAATCAAGGACAAGATCAACGCTGTATTCAAGCAGCAGTGAAGGTAGTTTGGACTCAATTGATCTGGAAACTCCGACGTCCAGTGTTCCAGTTGATGCTTTTATTGAATCAATAGTCAGTCGGCAGTCTGGGTCCAATCCTGGGTGTATAYTGAAGCTGTGTTCGTTAGTAGATTCACGGGAAGTCCTTCAAAACCCTTTACTTTTACATATATTCACAGAAAGATCAATCAAACCAGACCTTTGTCTRAACCCCCAGAATGAACCAACAGAGGACAATGAAGGTTCGAAATCTGAAGACAATTTCTTTATTGTGGGCGTCGAAAATGTCMCAGACCCGGAGGATCCAAGTCGAACAATTTCACAACTCCATATGTGGAATATGAAAGTAACGGCTACCAAGGCTGAGAATGGAGCTGAAGAAGAAGATCTGTTCTCCTACCCTGAGGTAGTTAGAGGAGGCAGCTTCTGCAGCAGTCAGCAGTCTTCTCGAAGCACCAGTCCCTTAAATATACCTATAGAATATCCTGCGMAAACAACGATTTCTTCCAAGAAAGTATGYACAGAGAAATTACCCCTACCSCCTGGGGTTTTCATCAAGACAGCTACAAGAGCTGCTGAYAAGATGTCTTCATCGGCAGTCAACCCAACRTGTCCTGCGTCGTATCTATTCACGACCTCGTGTTCTGATGGGAAGGTGAGGTTTTGGTCTTGYAAAGAAGAGGAAGATGGCRGCAAATTTAAATGGGAGGAGACATTATGGCACGCGGACAGAAACCACATTCTSGASCATTCATCACGAGAGGAAGAAAAKTCTTCTAGTTTACAAGATGAAGTCATGTCRATTAGTTGYGCGTATACTGAAAGGCTGGCAACCTTGGTAAGAAGAGCTCCYGAGGGAGGGAAGGGTGARGACGGACTATTAGTTTGTGTYTGGGAGAGTGAGTCATCTGGAGGAGTTGAGTGGACACTTGAAGACACGTTGAGGTTAAACTGCAATTCCCAGCCAGATCCATCTCAAGTTCGCCTAGAGTGGATCTCAGTGGAGAACGGCGCRCATATCCTAACTGTCTGCATTCAAAATGAGATCTTCATTCTTGGAGCAGCGTCTAGAATCTCTCCTTTACCTCTTAATGGAGACAAAATTAATGTCGGTAAAGAGTCTTGGATTCTTCTTGACAGCACACACCTTGCCTCAGAGAATCAGTGGCAGCTCCTGAATCGRGCRCTTTCYTGGGCAAGAAATGGTGTACTCGTTGTAGGTCTTGGCACAGAAATGCAGGTGTACTCGCAATGGAAGGTTATTACCGATGGTACACTCTCTCCATCAGATATCACGTCGTACGCACCGACTGCGACTCTAGAAAAAGTCACACAATTGACMCGAGGRGGGTCTGGTGGGGATCTGGTGCCTTTGTCYTCATCAGGAGGATCTCGTCTAGGGTTGTTTGAGGAGGCAGCGACGATTCTTCCCATCCTGCCTCAGTACCATCCAAAGCATTTGATGGAGCTCATGAATTCTGGGAAGTTAAGAAGGGTTAGAGCGATACTACTACACTTGGTGAGTAACTTTTGTTATTGCATTTATTTGTGTAGCCATAATTCATAAACGTCGTCCTGGTCTGAGTCATTGTTTTAAGACCTGAGAACGTTTGCGCTATTTTCTCAAATATGAAAAATCGCCTTTTTCCATTTTGAACCAATCAGAAAGCAACTTTCAACAACAGATCTCCTTTAAATCAAAACAAACAAATGCAAAGGCTCCCGGATACAAGCAGTACTTTAATTCCTATGCGCGATTCATTGTAGGTCCAATGTGTCGCGGGTGAAGAAGCAGTTCGCGTGGCATCTCGAGAACAGGCCCGTCCCCGTCTTGGTAGCATCAGTACTAGTCTACCACGTACAGGAAGTTTCGGTGATGTTGAAACAGTACTAGACAATGTGGATGAGAAAGATGGACCATTGGCTGTTCCWCCTGTGCCTTTGCATGCATTGCTCAATGCTGATAAAGATTCTGGTTTTACAGGTAGGGTTATAGAGCAGAGTCACATGAACCATGAAATAAGAACTAAAAAGTACTAACTAATAGGGACTATTAGTTCCTAATAGTCATTAGCACTGAACCAGAACACTTTATTTGATCCAATAAGCAATACCCAAGAGACCACTTTAACAATCAAAGTAATCTCCTTATACTGTTCTGGTTCAGTGATAGTGTCTAAAGTACCTATTAGTAACTAAGTATTTAGTTTCTATTTCATGGTTCAAGTGACTCTGCTCTAGTACGTTATCTATAAAATAAGAGACTATTCACGACTTTCCATACCCAGGTTCATTTACCTCGAGCAAAGAATTACACCGAAGCGTCATGAACCTATCAGCACAGATGTTGTTGTTGTTGTTGTTGTTGTTGTTGTTGTTGTTGTGTTGTTGTTGTTGTTGTTGTTGTTGTTGTTGTTGTTGTTGTTTGGTCTTGTTGTTTGGTCTTGTTGTTGTTGTTGTTGTTGTTGTTGTTTGGTCTTCTTGTTGTTGTTGTTGTTGTTGTTGTTGTTGTTTTTAATGCGTACTCCACCTTGACACCTTGGTTCACTGCGTTATTCATGATCACCGAACTTTAGTATCGTGAGTGAGCATATACTTGGTACTGAACACAAACTAATTGTAATGTTAGAATATTTGTTGCTTTGTTTCATAGATTATTGATGTTATAATCTTTGCTATAATTCAATTACTAATCCCATACCACACCTTGCTCGCATTTTCAAGAATCCTTGTTTTATCTTTTCAATCTCTCAACCTATCTTCAATGTGCTGTATTGTAGGTGATATTTCTCAAGCAGATGGAGGAGTTCAAACAGTCTCGTCAGACGAGAAGGACTACAGTGCTCTCTTTGACACTCAAACTAGCATGGGGAGTGTAGAGTCAGATGACGAGCTTACTAGRATRAATGAAAAACGAAGAAAGCGAGCCTTGACCATGTACGGCAGTCCAACCAATGGGCCTCGCTTTGAGGGTCCCGTATACTTTGGCCTGGCCCAGGCGAGATTGTTATCTTACCAACTTACTCGTAAGCAGCTCCCTGGGTTGACAAGCATCGAGCAACTCGAACTGCTTGCATTGGCTGACACATTTGCAAGTACCAAGCTTGATCTCGAGAAAAGCCCTGCTGATATTGAACGTGGCTTAAACTTTGCTAAGAAAGAAGGTACTGGTTTTGTATGCATCTAAGTGTGATCCATTTTAAACGCTTGTTTTCTAATTTCGCCTTTTGTCATTTGAAGGTGAAGTTTCAAGTGGTCTTATTGGTGTCATGGGAGGACCCGGTGGGGGAGGTGGTGGATATGCGACTACTGGCAGTATTGGAGCCTCAGCGGGTAGTGGTGGGGATGCTGTTGACGATTGTGGTCTTCGATTCCTATTGGCTATGCGGCATCACACATGTCTGCTTCGATCGCTGCCACCGATCCAACGAGCTGTTGTTGAAGAAAAAGTAAAAATAGATTCGCATAATTGTTCTTTTTGAGTGCTTGATTGTTTAAATTAGGGAAACTGGCTTTTTATGATCCATAATTTGTATTGTCAGGGGCTGTCAAGTTCGTACTATGGTTGGGCCTTCCATTCGGAGTCTGAAGAAGAGCTYCTTGCTATGGTTCCAGCCATGTTACGAGGTGAACCAACATGGCCTGAAYTACGGCACTTTGGTGTTGGTTGGTGGATTCGCAGCACTGATACTCTGAGACGTCTTATCGAGAAGGTGAGAATGTGCTTCATCTATGACAGTGTTTCTGATCCCAGTTGTGATAGAATGGTAAATTATAGACTTCAAAAATTATAGAAAATGTACTGACTGTTTAGTTTGGAAGGTAACGACGATGAAAAGAGTAATATTTTGTAATTAACTGCATGTTTGAGTTCTAGTATGGTATAAGTATGGCTCTCTCTATTTGCAATAGGTATCGAAGGCTCAGTTTGGTTTAAAGCAAGATCCTCTCGATTGCGCTCTCTTCTACCTTAGTATGAAGAAGAAAAATGTCATCTGTGGTCTTTACAGGTAAGACACTTACATATTTGCCTTCGCGTTCAATAAGTTTGTCGTTTCAAAAGGTTAGAAGACCGAATTGTATTCTGGGACGTTATTTGAACCCTCTCAAAATGATGCTGTGTGCTACCAGCAACAACTTGCGTTTGTTAGTGGTCCATGGTAGTTTATTTTAACAGCAGATGTCTGATGCAGTATTCTGGTAGATTTAAGTAAAAGGAACGAAGCGCAAGCATATCCCATGATGATGCTTTTTGGGTTTAGATTTCAAGGTTTTAAGTGGAAAACTTAATTAGAACAAGTGTAAGTTATGTTCTCGATTCAAATGAGATATTTATTCWATAACCAGGTCGGTACAAGATAGTCGTATGGCCAAGTTTTTCATGAATAATTTCAAAGAAGACCGTTGGCGCAAAGCAGCCTTCAAGAACGCCTATCAGCTTCTTGGTATGCAAAGGTTTGAACACGCGGCAGCTTTTTTCCTGTTAGCTGGATCTCTGTGGGACGCAGTTCAGGTAGAGTTTTAATAGGGTTCCCCTATTGAATATTATTGTAATGAATAAATTTGAGTTCATTCTTGAAGCGCGATCATTTGAGCAATTTTTTTTTTGAATTATTGCTTTATTTTGTAGGTTTGTATCAATCGAATCCATGACTTCCAGTTGGCCATGGTGCTGACTCGCTTGTACGAAGAGCAGTCCGAAGGTCCTGATTACAAACRTGTCCTTAAAGACTTTGTGCTTGGCTCTTCAGGAACGAAAGGTAAAAGCAATTTTTCCTCATTTTTAACTGTTATTATTTATTATTAATAATATTAGTATTTTCCTACCTTTCTGACAATTTCCGAGGATGTTGTAAACTATAAAACGCTCGCTTCAGAGAAGAGATTTTACAGCTATCATTGTAGTATTGGGGCGTCAGCTCCCCATGGCACCCTCCCTCAGATCGAATGTCTCTTTGTGTTTTCCAGATCCATTTCTSCAAAGCATAACACATTGGATCCTTAAAGACTACAACAAGGCCTTGGAAGTTCTTATACTTGAGCCAGGAGACTCTACGGAACGCAAGTACAACGCCTGGGCAGCCAATGGAAATCCCGACATTTTCAACTTCTATTTATTCTTACGCAAGCACCCCCTAATCAAAAGAAGACGGTTTGTACATTCCGACCAAGAACCGAATGCTATGATCAAGAAAARCCGTCCTCGACTCACCAGACAGCAAAGTATGAACGAAGAGGTCTTTKCGGACGATCCGCTGACTCCAATGGAACGTCAACTCTTCTTTAAGACTGCGCATGCGCATATRAACTCTGGGTGTCCTGCTYTGGCCCTTCAGGTGCTGATGGAGCTCCCMGCAACTGATTTAACAGAAAAGCCTTCTGGGTCGTTAATAACACAGCACACGATTACTGAAGATTCTAATATGACTAATGATATTACAGATAGCATGATAGCTACAGGGACTTTGGGAGACTTCACTTTCAAAGATAACCAAACTTTTAGTAGGAAAACTGTGAGCGTCAATGGTGGAAGTGCTGAGGATTTTGACTGGAGTAAACCGGTTTCTTCTAAACTTCAAGAYAGTAGCAATGACTTTGACTGGAGTCAACCAGTTTCCTCAAAACTGGGCGGAACCGGTTTGGGRGATAGTAGCAATGACTTTGATTGGAGTCAACCGGTTTCTTCAAAACTTGGAGGAACCGGTTTGGAAGATAGTAGCAATGACTTTGATTGGAGTCAACCGGTTTCTTCTAAACTAGGCGGAACCGGTTTGGGGGATAGTAGCAATGACTTTGACTGGAGTCAGCCTATTTCTTCAAAACTTGGAGGAACTGGCTTAGACACAAGTAACGGTTATTTAAATGGTAATACTGACTTAGATGAAAACAGCTCTGAATCCGCCCTTGAAAAACAGGAGGAAGAAGAGCTAAACAATGAAATTGATGGTGTTGAGTCTAAGGAAATTCGCTATGTCGATGTCATCGCACAACAAATAAAATTCTCTGCAATTTTGAAGCTTTTGCTGGACGAGCTGCACGGCCTTCCTGCAGCGTGTGTGATCGCCGATGAGGACTTGAGGTCCTTCTTCATGCGTTGGATGGAGATGGAGTTTGCAGTGCTACATAAAATGGCAGACTATGGGACGAAGGCTAAYGATATCGGTGTGGAGCAACCTTCACCCGAGCCTTCTCCTGAACCAGGTGATTAAAGGAACCTGTTTGATGTTTTATGTGCTTAAAGGACCACGTGCATCYGAGAGCCTTTGCGCGCATTTTTTCACTTACAAAAAATCACCATCTTGGATTTTGAACCAATCAGAAAGCAACTTTCAACAACGGATCTTTTCAAGACAAAATATGCGATCACAGGTTTTCGGAAGCTAGTGAGCCTTTAAACGATACTTCCTGTGATCATACTATGAAATAACTCCTGTTCTCCTTACACACATAACTTTCTTATTGCATAGGGTTGTTTTGTGATGTCATCCCATATTTAATCAACTTTATTTTACATTTAAGCAGAAGAAGACTTCCAAGAAGTCCCSTCAGATAAAAACTACATCGGCATGAAAATCGACAAATCTGCCAAGCATATYCAGTGGCTGAGGAAAAACCGAACTCTGCTGAACATTTTACTAAATTACTGCTCGCTCCATGGATCCAGTGGTGGGCAACTAGCAGGTATAATTGGGATGATGATGATGATGATGTTGATAAAGCTAGATGATGATGGTGAAAATATATTATTCCATGTTTTCATAACCCAGTTCCTTGCGCTATCTTGAAATGTAACTGTGCCTTTGCATCGAAGTAATAAGACCGTTGAGCATAAAATGATAGATACCTGCCTGTCATTGTCTATGGGTGTGACAGAAGGATCTGTCTTTACACCAGTCGTCTAGCATCAATGCCAATGCATGGTTGCATTTCAAAATGGCGCATGAAAGCGTGAAGGAGACTTTTGATAAGAAAGCAGCTTGTTATGCTCTGTTGTGCCGTACTTTGTCTTCATCTGTATGACTGCTTTTTTTCCCTTTCCGAAAGGGGGAAAGGCTTTCTTTTTCTTTTTGATTGTTTGGCAAGATGCTAACTAAGGCGGTGATGTTGATAATGATGATCGTGGTGATGATGACAATGATAATTATTACTATTATTCAATATTATTAATTTATTAATAATCATCTTTATTTCTAGCGATGAACATGGAGCTTCTTCTTCTCCTGCATGAAGTAGAGCGTTGTAGCTTCCTTTTGTCTCCACTATTTGTCCCGTCCGCCGGGCCATCCATCCCTCCTCTCATTCTCGCCGCAGTATCGACGTCCTCTCTTCTCGCCAGTCCTATTGGCTACTTACAATCACTAACTCAAGATATCCTCAAGTATTTGTTTAAATTACAGGTGAATATTAACGAATTGTTGGTTTAGACTGAGTGTAATTAGATGAYAACCTCAGCCTTCAAATTTTCCATGAATTGTCTAGTTGTTATGGCGTTCGGTTCGCACTAGAACTGGTTCTAAACTTCGCTTAAACGTAGCCTGTTTATGACACTAATATTATATTGTTTTAAGGAACCACCGTCGTCTGGGAATCCTGTTTCCATGGTTGCAGTTCTTAGCAGTCTGACGGGGACTTTGTCAGACTGCATGTATCAAAGTCTTACAGGGGTCAGCAAAGATGGTGGCCAAGACCAACCACAAAGAGGTGAACACTGACAAATAACTCACATTAACTTAGTGTGTCTTGTCTTGTCTTGTCTTGAATGCTTAAATATTCACAATTTATACACAACTTTGAACTTAACAGGTCCATCGCCTCAGTCTAATAGCTCTCCAACCACGAGTCCCTCTCATAACCCAACAAGTTCACCGGCAAAATGGCCTGGAGTTCGCTTGCTGCTATCATTGCTGGCCACAGAGAGCAGAGATAACAACACAAGACTTCGTGTGATCCTAACAGAGGCATGTGTGGCTGTCTACCTTAGTTTGCTGTCCGTAGCTTGGTCAACGTGCCAGCCTAACCAGTTGTACAGGCTCGTGAATAATTCGCTTAAGTCAGGGATGTGGGGGATGGTGTTCGGAGGAGGTGTAAAAGTTTCGATGCAAACTCCAAGTGGAAGTAAGAATTATTATGCATAATTTATCATTTCAGTGTTTTTTTGCGGCCAAAATCGTTTTCTATAAAGTTATATATACTTATCATTATTATTTTGTTTTTATACTCTTTATTTAAAGGAATATCTAGTGAGAATCACTGCATCTTTTTGGTTTTATTTTAAGATTATTTGATTGGCAATGCTTTATTTCCATACAGGCGTACCACAAAATGATAAGACCAAGTCCTCCGCTGCTGTAACCGGCCGAGGGCAGAACGACAAGTACTGGAACTCAGCCAGGACTAGATGGAATTATAAATTGCTGGGTCGACAAGATTCAGTGCAGTCCCGCGCAACAGAGCCTAAACCTTTGGTAGTGGAACAATACATGCCCCCAAGCACCACTCTCACGGGATACTTTTTGTCGAAGGTAGGGAATTCATTTGTTTAAAAGTAACAATTAACTTGACAGTATTTAATTGTGAATTATAATTCTGTTTCAGCCAAATTTATCAAGCAGTCTTGGAAAGAACTACGATTCAGACGAAGAAGATGGCGACTCGTCGGACGATGAGTACGAGTATGAGAGCGATGCTGAAGACGAGGATGGATTCCCTTTGTTTAGAGCCAAGAAGAGCACCGAACCACGTGACCATCTGGAYCATACGTCATATGGCTGGAGTCTCATGAATTACTCAATCAGTAAATTAGCATTGAATGATTTGCAGAAGTTTTTACCAGACATTGGCTTTGAACTGACAGGTAGCAATGATGACAATTCTGTTTCCTTATATTGCTCAAACATTTCCTCTCAAAGACTGATCATACCAATCATCAGGTGTTTTCTTGCTATATCTGCAATCATAAAGCTGGTTTTACACTTGTGATAGATCGATTGCCCATCAGCGATTGCCTCAGCTTCGGGCATTCACCCTTTAGGGTCGTGAAGAATAGGTTTCTGAAACTTATAAAAACACTATAATTTTCTTACAGATCTTCCATCACTTTCACCGCTACTCCACTCGGCGTTGAAGTTACTCGAACGCTGGTCGCAAACTCTGCAAGTTAAACTCGACTCGTTTCAAGGTCCTCCGCCTGATTTGATATCGCAGTTTCCAGTCTCTTGCGAAACGTTTCCTCGAGGGGGGCCGGCACTATTGAGATATAAGGCACTGCTGGACCCAAGTAACACACCATTCAGGTGAGTTTATTATAAATCCAAGCGTGCGTCGCTGAGTGCGTATTACAATAGACCTCTGCAGCTTTTACGTCATGTACCGTATACGCAATGCATTGTAGGACATGTTTGGGACAAAACATGGCGGATTTCTTTTGTTTTCTCTTGAAACTGATCCCACAATGTATTGAAAATCAAGTAGTGACYGACGTAAAAGGTTCAGAAGTCTATTGATTCTATAAGTTTGACTCAATCACTTCTGGTTGGAAGGACTTAGAATCAATCTAGAGTTAACAACTAAAATGTTAGTTCAAATAGATGGTTGTATGTTGGTCTAATCATAATGTTTTACGTTACTTCAATCTAAAGTTGTTTTTTTTATTTATTTTATTTTACTAAATGTTTGATGTAGAAATAAGAGTTTTAACTAAAATAACAAGTAGAATCATAACAGTTGTCTCTTGTGCGAGTATCATCGCCATAACAATAACACTATTTCAAACTAGGATCTCTTCACCTCACTTCAAAAGACTAACTACCGAAAAGGATTCTGGGAATGAAAGAACGGATTGTCACGTGATCACTTAGCGTCTTTATTAAAACAAGGTTTAATTTGTTCTCAGATCGACGCGAACTGCTGCTGAGGCTGTAAAGCGACTGTGGCGGTCGCTGGTTCAYCAGGAGCCTATCCAAGAAATGATGATAGGWTAYGTGTTTAAAGCTGATCCAACGGTCACTAGAGAGGCCATCAATGATACAGAGGTTAGTGCCATTGGACTATTCTCTTAGACTGTAGTATCAAACCATCTGGGGAGGGGAGGGCATGATATGATTCTCAGGATATTTTTTGATATGAATATCCAATGCAAATACGAAGTACATTTAGCATTACAGGTGCCATCATAGCAAAGAGTATACCAATCTTATTATGTTGACTAGTACTTCAGCTGTCACCGGAAAGTCTCACGACAAAAATCGCCAGTTTTAACGATCTAGGATGAGAAATGGAGAATAGAAAATTAAGCATTACAGTCATTTAAGCCGGAATCAACTCTGAGAAAATGAGAAAAATGGTTCAATTCTAATCACTGTAACAACCGTCTGACAAGCATATTGCCCTCTGAAAACGTTTCAAGACCTAGTACCCAACACCATGAACTACAGAAACGAGCAGAATAGTACAAAAATCATGCAATCAGAACACTTGTCTTGTGTATCGTATAAATTGCTGGTTAATTGTTAGGTTGATCAAACTGATGCCCCTCCTGCCACAAGAGATCAGCATATCGTCCATAAAGACACTGAAGGAATCAACTCATTCTGCATAAACCAGGTAAACAAACAAACAATTTTATATTATTGAAATTAAATGAATTGACGTGTAGCGCCTTTATTTCCTTTAGGCAAATCCCAACGTAATTGCTGTTGCAACATTGCGTGACGTACARGAAATTGATGTGTCACACATTCTCTCCCCTGAACCTGCGCCATGGACGGACGAAGATAAYGAAACGGAGAACGGTGAATCGTCTCGAAGAAGGTATATATAATTGCTATTGATGAAAACAATACTAATTATAGTATTGATCAAAAATATGCTTCATTCCAGTATAAATCCAGGCTCAGACGAATCGTCAGAGTTCCTTGTTGTCCACGGGAACCAGTCCTCCTCAAATATGCAGAGTAACGTGGGGTCTGGACCAAGACAAAGAATCCTAGAGGTTGGACTCGATCCTTAGAGATGTTTTACATTGTTTTTGCGCAAAGAGTACGAAAGTCATTATTAAGTTTTCTTTTATTTTGACTTGTAGCTTCTCAAACGTCAAGCTCACGGAACTAAGAGAATGGACTCTCATCCACACCTACCTTACTGTAAGTGTACCTTTTTTCTACATTACCGCTTTCCTTCCTTATCTCTCTTTTTCATTCGTTTGTTGGTTCCTTTTCCACCCTTCCTGTCTTTCTTCTCGCTTCGTGTGCATCAGTCCTTCCTTGCTCTTTCTGTCCCTCGGCCTTTCTTCTTCCCTCTCTTTTTTCTTTCTTTCCTTCCTCTGTTCCATTTTCTTTCCTCCATTCATTTGTCCCCTTTCCTTGGTTCGTTCTCCCACCTCCTTTTCTTCGCTCATTCCTTTCTTTCTTCCTTACGCCGTTACGGGCTTAATGCCACTTGAATTTCTAAGCTATTTTGTTAGGAGAGCGTTTACACATTACCCAAAACACTTATGCTTTCTGTACGTAGATATCACTGGGTCTCAGGATGGTAGCGTTCACATGTGGGAGTTYGGTCATCCGCAGCAAATTACTTCACACCGTACTGTGGGCTCATATCAACGTGTTACAAGGGTCCACTTCAGTCCATATGGTAACAAGGTTAGTTTCTGGTATTTCAATCATTATCATTTCATTATTGACATCATTATCACAATCACATGTACAGGTTGGCATATCAGACGCTAGTGGTCAGGTCTTGATGTGGCAAGTCAGCTCTACCGGGACATCAGCCAATCCATTTATGGTAATAATGTCAATCACTATTATTTGCCAATCACTATTTTTTGCCGTTTGTTTGTTTTCGGACTTTGTTTTACGCGTTTTGTGATTTTGTGTTTCTGATTTTGCGCGTTGACTTGTTTCATTTTTATGGACAACTAAACGCTTTTATCAAAGCGACTTCACGATTAAAAGAATGGACATTTGTTTCATTGTCGCGGTATTACGTTTTGTTTGGAACACTTKAAATGTTGACTCATAAAGWTTATGAGTCAAATAARCAGATTTTTTGCGAGKAAAACCTATCCTAGCAGCTTTGTTTGTGCGACCGMTGTTTTGAGACTACAAAACGTTKTACGCTGAAGCTTTATTTTCGCGATGRACGTAGTTTTGTTTTACCTTGACAAGTGTCATTTTAAGGATACGCTAAACATTGTCAAACTTCATTTGACTCTGGACGGAAAAATTGTACTTTTAAGCTACGTTGACGGTGACTCTGATGTAAGACGTACTTTTTAGTTTCGTTTTATAGTTACAGCTCACCGGACGAAGTTCTTTACATTTAAAAAATATACGTTTGCAAGCTCTGGAGTTGCGTTTACGGAGACTCAAATAAAGYCGTGCKCATTAGCGTCGTGTATTTGCGATTTTTCGTKTTTTCATTTATTTAAWCCTTCATTCATATCGTTAAGCATTCATTATTGTATTATTTTCAGACGTTAAAGTGTCACAACAAACAAACAAACGACTTTGTATTTTTGAGTTCTGCAAGCTACATCGCTACTGCTGGTCATTCTTCTGATGGAAGGTGAGCGGGAAGTCACAGTTAACACAAGCAAACGCAGCGGTGGTTAGGATGACTGTGGGAGTTACGAAAATTGCAGTCATTTGGTTAAAAAATACTGTCTTAATATCAATATCTTTATATATATTTTATACTTGTGAAATATAGAGGCACTCAATTGCTTTAGCATTGCAATAACTTTTAAGTCTATGAAATTTTCTTYGCATAGCAATGTCGCATTATGGGATACTCTGGTACCACAGAGAAGCTCTTTGGTTCAAGGTAGGTCATTCTCCTTTCATTRTTGCCTGTACTAGCTTCACTAGTTTTGGCTTCCATTTTTCTAGCAGTTTCCTTCTTTTGCTTCCCTTGTGTACTCTTCACTAGATTTTTCCTCTTTTCTTCACTCCCCTTCTCTGCTCGTTGCTTGCCATATTCATTGTCAACATCCCATTTCTCCAGTGATAAGTTTTCTCTCTTCTATTTTCCTGTTTTTTTTCTTGATTCTCTTGTCATTTCTATTTGTCTTCATGATCTCTTTCTTGAATCCGCTAAAAATGTTTTTCTTTCTTTTGTTTTACATTTTATACAGCATTCACTTGTCATGAGAATGGTGCTCCATGTCTTGCWTTTGTCAAAGGACARCAGCTTTTGGTRTCTGGAGGCAGRAAAGGGAATATTTGTATCCTTATTTTTAGTAGTTCATCACATCTCACATGATTAAATGTGGGTTTCAGTGTTTCAAACAGACCATATTCCATCCACTTTTATTTGAAGAATTCTTTAATAATCTACAATATATATATATAAAAAAATGCTTCATTTGCACTAATATGAAGTTCCACTCACTGCCAAATATTTTTATTTAAACTTACTGTCGACTTTCTGACATGTAAGTGTTCATTTACACCAGGCTATCATCATTCAAGTTTTCCTTAACAATTCCAAGGTATATTTGATATCCGAAAGCAGCAGTTACGRCACACATTCCTGGCCCATGATGCACCTGTGAAGAGCATTGTTGTTGACGACAGTGAGGAGTTCTTTATATCTGGATCAGAAGATGGTGACATCAAGGTAGTGGATCCCATAAATATCTTCTTCTCAGTTTCCTGTACTAACTTGATAGGCAGCTATGCCTTTGAATTGAAACAAGACRACTGTGGAGCATGCAAAGATTGATACCTGTGAATAATTGGCTGTAGGTGTGAAAGAAGGTTTCTGTCATTGCATGCTCAATGGTGCTCTTACTTCAATACAAAGGCACAGCTACCTTTCAAGGTGGAGCAGAGAACCATAAAGAAGACAACTATGTTATAATATTCAGAATTCATTGAAATTGCTGCACAAATGAGCAGGAGCATACATTTTCAAACTCTGCAAATGGTAGCTTTCTGCTATACTTGGAAAGAAAAGTCTAGAGCTACAGTCTTGGACAACAAGACTGTCAATAACTCAACATTCTGAAAAGTTCAAGAGAACATTCATTTGCCCCATTCTCCTCYTTCAATACAGTAGAGTTGTTGGAATCCAAAAAGTATTCAGCCATTGTGTGTGTTCTTGAGAATTGCGCACAAGCTTTGCAATAATTTGCATCATTTTGTCCAACAATGTAGTTTGTACTAGTTGACTATTCTTTCATGATCAAAGGCAAACTGCCCTTAAAAATCTTGTGTTTTCTGAAAAGAATAGCTTTTACTAAAAACATAATGTCTTATCAGATTTGGGGCCTCACAATCCATGACGAACTTGAATGCTTCCCAAAAGAACATGTAAAGAGCACCTACTTCAAGTATGGAACCCAGGGTGTGGCTCTAATACGCATACCTTCCCCTGGTCAATTCTACTCTTGCGGCGGTGATGGGACATTGAAATGGCGGCAGGTGTCACTACGGGACTCTATTGTTAACACAAAGTTTTTGTGAGCATTTTGGATCGTTGTGATACATATATGGAGAATGACAACTTCAAAGATATAAAATGTCTTCTTGAAATGTGCAGGCAAGGTTATGTTACAGTAAGAACATTATGATGACAAGTGCCTTAGAAAAAGACTGATCTCATCAAGAAATGCAAAGTCTAAGAGATGGCTTTGGGAACATGACTAAGGATGTTTTGGACAAAAGAGTGGATTAAATGTTAGAAGTGGAGCTTACGTCTTAAAGTCAAAACAAGGATAAAGTTTATGGTCAGGACATTGAACATAAAACAATCGTGGCTGTCATGTTATACTGCACAAAAGGACACGTTTTTGAACAATAATACTTATAACTCGGAATTGAACATTCATTCCAAGTTAAGAATAATAATCTCCATTGAGAGTTGATTATACTGTACCCATGGTTTTATGGAAAAAATAGACTCTCCAGAATCAAGGCAGTTAGAAAGAGAATATTTTGGTAGTGACTGAAGGTGGCAAGTTTGTACTTGTTTTATTTCAGTTGATGCAATTGTTGTTACAGTTTGTGGAGTCAAAAGAAAATTGACTCGACTTTTACAGTTTGTATTGATGAGCCTTAAGCCTTAAGTAATTGTGTTATCTACTAGAATTCTCAAACCCAAAGGCTGCGTTTAAAATGTATTTTGAAACAAACAATTGAGGCTCTGAGCAAGGGGAAATTAAACTCTGTAAACATTAACTGCTTTCATGCCGCACACTGGGCACTGAATATGCAACAAAATTATGTACTGCTGCAAACATTGCACAAAATAAAATGTTTATGAGTAGGTAATAACTATTAAAATATGGCAAAAAAGTACAACAAATTAAAATTAAATTTATATAATTTGCTAAACAATATTAGGATATTTGATTAGTGTAAATATAAACATAACCATGGCATCACAACATTTTTTTTATATTTCTCAAGACCATTAAACATTTTAGTTAAAAAAATACCAAATATAAGCCAATCAAATTGTTTGATGTATGTAGGTTATACATTTATTTGAAACTGTGATATAGAAGTGTTCTAGAGAAAAATAATAAAGGCTTCACTGATCAATTCATGTTCACTGTTTACAAATTCTATTGATTTTGTAATATATCAAATATGAGTGGGAGATTTTTTTACCCAAATATATTATATTGCTTATCAAATTCCAATATAAGCTAAAGTATATTTTGCTAAAAACTTCAAGATAAAAAAAAACAAAGAAAATCAGGGTTAAAGTCGCATGCAAATCAGGATGAATCTCGTCATATAAAGAAGCGGTCACGGCAATGATTTTCTATTGTGTTTATCTTATGAATTATTGTGGACAAACTAACTTAGAGCCTCTTTACATGAGAAAGGGTGAGTGCCAAGGTAGTATGGATTGTTTTTTTAAAAAAAATTAAAAATCCTCTGGGAAAAACTTAAAAAAAACTCACCCTACAACCTTGGGGCACCCTATCTTGTTACATGTACCCTACTCATTCTCTGAAGCAATTTTTCTTATCCTCTGCAAAAAAGAAAATCACTATCTAGCTTGTATATTATTATTTTCTTATTATAATTATTATTACATTGGGTAATAAATCTATTTAGTTTGGGCTATGTAGCTACTTGATCTTGTACTTGTAGGGCACAGGAAGCCCAAAACAAAAGGCTGCAAAGAATAGTGTTCATGCTCAATACTTTATCAGGTACTAACCGATTGCACTTACATGTAGTCATCAAAGTCACATGCATGGTATGTCTTCCCAACAATGTGGGATAACAAGTGTAATAAAGTACAGTTATTTTACACATGCTCAGATTGTAATATCTCATAAGTTTAGAAATATTGGTTTTAGATCCAGGAATGATGAAAGTGTGAGTTCAAAAACACTGTTACAGCTCTTCCAGAGCTTTATACCTGGCAAGAAGAGAGGARCATTTAACATTTTTATGCACTGTTAGATATGTAAGATTGAAGTCATCATTTTGCTGTCTACGATGGCTTTAGTTTTAATTCTGGATACCATATGGGCACAGCACCAGCTATGGAAGATATTAACCCAAGCAAGCCAGACACTCCAGTGCTCAGCTGAATAATTCCCATYACATTCAAAGGAAGTAAAAAATCTGCAGAGTTCTTAACAGTGTCAAGAACAACATCAGGGCGTTTCATAACTTTCTGAACAATGCTCTTTTCCTTGACTTTTTCACCATCAACCCTTTCCTTTGACACATTGAGCAAATTAAGAAGATCATAGATGTTGCGAAGTACACCAAAAATCAAAGCAATTAGCCAAAACTTGGACTGAAACTTTGACCAGGCTTTAGAGTCAGACTTGAAGAGACCAACTCGATCTGCCCAGGTGACATGGTCTACTAGATAGTACAGTATGTAGGTTACACGGCGGCACATTATGAGGACACGGACTACRTTATCACCAGACATTTTGCTTGCTCGGACAAATCCAACATACATGTCCATGCTTTTGCCAAGTCTGAAAACTTAACAGGAAAAAAATGGTATATGAATTTTAAGTGTTCAATGTGATCATAAAACAACATAAAGCTTTGGAAGCTTATAACTACCACTTACTTTTCCTCGATGTGCTTGCATGTTTGTCCAACTTTTTAGCATTTTCAACTAAGTCTTTGCTAAAACCCACTCTTTCCATAACATATCCTGTCAGTCTTGATCCATACTGTATTGTCCTTCAAATACATAAATATAATTAAAGCTTAGTAAGATTAAAAACAGGTCAATTGTACAAGGGGGTTTAAGAAAGCACTATCCAAAAGTCAATACAAATCCTATAAAAATCTATGCAGCTTTATCCACCGTTCGATTGCTCCAAGATGACAATGATAAATTGCTTTTTTATTGAGTATTAAACTTGTCAACCTACAGTAACTTACAAGCCACATGTAAGCTTTAATACAGTACAATGTACATGTATTATAACTTTACTTGATTTTCAATGGCTATCAAAAACAGTCAAATGTGTTGTTCCTCCGTAGTATTTGAACACTATTTCTGTGTGAAAAGACTGCCTCGATGGAGAAGCTTACAAGGAAAACAAGAAAGCTTAATTTGTTTGTACAATTCAAAATAAGTTAACTTATCGTTTTTTGGATCGAAATGTTATGAAATAATGGCCCATTCCAGCTTTTTCTTTACCTGCAAAGTTTGTCACGACCAAGTGTTTGTTGGTTGTATTTAACAATGGCAGATACAACATCCATCGTGGCGTTAACTTGGGTATTAATCCAAAAGAACAGAATACCACTTCTTGATCTTCAAAATAACCTTTGCACCTTCTGAGCTTGCCTTCGTGTAAAAAGCACAGGAAACCCAAATACTAAATGGATCTCTTGTGTGATTTTTTTAAAACATTTTCAATGGATTTATTTTGATCTTAAAAGATAAAAACTTCATTTTAACTGGATTTCTAGAGCTTTTATCCTTAAAATAGACAAGTATTGCAAAGTAAAATTGATATTCTTTGATTTTCAAAAGATTTTGGAGTTCCTGTTGACTTTTAAAAAAACGGAGGGACTGAGTTCTAGTTCTTGTTGTCAAGCAAAATGGCGGATSATAAACAAAAATGAAAAGCAAAAAGGTCTTTATTGCAAAAGTGACTCGCGTTTAAGATTCTACATATCCTTCAATGCTTCATAATGCCAAAAAAGAAGTCTAAAAGGCCTGCAACACCTCCGTCAGAGGATAGCGATSAGGGCGACRATGAATTTCTCGTAGATCCAGAACAAATCTTTGACGTTTTGCCTCAGCCCTTYCGTCTGATCGACAAGACTTTGAACGATATTTTCGACCGTGTGTGGTCACTGATAGAAGAGATAGAAGATAAAAAAGCTATTAAACTATCCAAGGAAAGTTTGCCTAGCTATGACTGTGGAAGGCCGCTTTTTGACGTAGYAAACCCTTCCTGTATCTGCAGCGATGAACATGGCAAGCACCTCTTTGTTGCCCACGATGAGGGCTTTACTGTCGYTGAAGCTCTTATAGGACAGAGTTTAGCAAGCTATGAAGATTCCTCAGCAAGAAATGTTATTCAAATGAGCGCCATCTTGCTACAGGATGGTATGTGCTTGTTAGCGACCTTGGAAAGCAACGGTGTCGCTAAACTATTTTGCTATTTTGGAGAACAGTTACACCTCGCTAAATTRTTTACTGATGAAAGTAATAAACAGGCAAGCGTGTCTTCAATTAAAATATCAGAGGATGGMWGTTATGTTGGYATAGGTTGGAGGGGAGAGGAAAGTTGGCTKGARATATTTAAGATTCCCAAGGAATCATGGGTAAAGGAGGCTGAGTCTGCGGTCCAAGCCGTCAAGTCCAAGAAACGAGATTCTYTTGAAYTGCAAGCTGGTATTGATGAAAAGGCAACTGAAGAGCAGGAGGTTGCATCTATGCATTCCTCAAATGTAAGAATTAAAAAAGCAAWTATGAGAAATTTATCTTTTTTTATTTGTTTGGAATACATTCTCACAGTATTATACTGTATTTAAGTCATTTTTTATTGTCCTATCCAGTCACCTCCAGGCTCAAGACCAGAGTCTTCCCAAGGGAACCCTAGTCAGTCATCATTTACAAAACCTACAGCGGYACTGAGAGTACGCCCTCCTGCACCTGTTGGTCCTTGTGCTGCAACCAACTATGCAGCCGCAYTGAAGGCAATTGATTCTGATAGCAATGCATTTGGCATTGCAAACAATCATGTCTTRATGGCACCATATTTTGAGCATTCAGAATTGACATTTAAGAGTCTTCATCAACCTCTTGTCAAGTATTTGAATGAAGAAAATATTGAAAAGGAAGTAAGGTGAGAAAACTAACTTAAGAACAGTTTACACTGGTGGTTTTCACAGCAATGTTTTGTGGTCATTTTTGTGGTTATTTTGATTCTAGAGATTAATATTAATACAATAATAATATTAGATTATTTATTTATTTTTTCATTTATCAATTTATTTGTTCATCCATTCATAATTTACAGATAAGGAAGGTAACAGTACATGTAGGGTCACCGTCTAGAACTTTTGTATTTCAATATTACTTTTTTCATTTTATATTCAATTTTTTAGCAYCCCAAATTTTCACTTCTTAAAACCTGGAAAGTTTGTTCCAACTGGCTTAGAAACAGCAGCAAGTAAGTAAACTATAATAATTATCATCAATCTCTGCAATGCTAAAACAGATACAAGATACAAAAAAGTCATCTCATGGCTGTTTAGCATCAAGGGTTCTTGCTTTTCTTGCTTTACATGGACTTATTGTTCATTTTTGGTTTGTTTTGTTGATGTTTTTGTTAATGCCGATGTTGTTKTTGTTGTGATCATTGCTGTTGTCACTGTTGATGATGATGTTGTAAAACAAGTTTTCAGTGCTTAGGAAGGTGAAAGAAGATAAACATCAACTCCAAATTTAAACAACAGTTTAATAGAATGCAGAATGCATGGCATGAGAGTATTTGTCTCTTGTATTTCAAACATTATTTACTTTAACCTGAGTTAGTATCAGGCCTTCGAGGGGGCCTGGGGTGGAAAGGAAGGCTCTCCTTTTTTTTCTCCTTCCATATTTCCCCCTCGAGAGCCTGATACTCAGGTTATATTTACTTTTGAATTTTGAAACATTTCAAAAATTATAGTCAAATACATAACTGTACTATATCTAAAATGACATTATCTTTTCAAGACAAGGTAAACTCCATAGCTGTTTGGTGGTCTGGTGGAACACARCTTTTCATCTACTCACTTGTTAAAAATGCCAAAGGTAAACGTCAAACACAAACTACATCCATAATTGATTGATAATGTATTCTCAGCTTATCATAAGGATTTTTGATTTCTCAGATATAGAGATCAAGCCAGATGCAGTTTGGCCAAATGCATCACAAATCCACATTAGTGCCATCAGTGATTGTCTGTCTGTCCTGGCTCTGGGGATGAAAGATGGTAGTTTAGCTGTGTGGGATGTCTATAGAGGTAACAGCAATGCCTACTGTATTATTGTTTCGTACCAGGCATTAAAGCTCTACTAAAAGTCTAATAGGCAGTGACACAATTTTGTGCAAAAAAGCTTGAGTGGTGTTGTTGTAGTAKTCACGCTTTTTATAGTCCCTAGAAGTGTCCCTAAAAGCAGTTTTTATGTTTTTGTCGTAGAAACGGCACAAATTCATGTGCTTATTAATCTGTTTTGCACAGAAAAAGCAAAAAAGTCTTGTTTTATCGAATATGACAAAGTAAAATGGTTCTTATACTCCCATCATCCTTTGTTGGACGAAATGACATTGCTACATATTAACATTTTTTTAATGACTTTTTCACAGGTGTTCTGTTAAGGGTGTGTTCCATGACCAGCAATGCCAATATCACTTGTGTACACTTCTTAACAAGTGGTTTATCACCGCCGCACTCAGACGATCAGCCATCTTACCTATCTACACCCATACCAGTAGCAAACCTAGCAGTGGCTTGTGATGATGGCAGTTTTAGTGTGGTTCAGTGTGGAGTGGCCTTCAGTCCGCCAATCAAACCCCTGATTGACAGGTACGATTTACATATATTGCTAGGAGACTGGAGTCAAGGTGTACGATTACCCATTATGCAGGATTGCTTTTTTTTGCGATTTCGCGGTTTTGAAAAGAATTTAGCGGTTTGCGGATTTGCGTTATCTAAGTTTTGATTTTTTTTTCCATTTTTACKGTTTCGATATGGTTTTCTTATTTTTGTATTTCGGCTTTGCAGTTTGAATGCGCCTTTTGCGTTTTGCCTTCCTAACAGCGAGACTGTTATTCAAGTCTCACACCTAGCGAGACGAGGTGTGATTCACCATTGCCTGACAATACAAAGTCTAATACAAAATAATAATTGTTTTATAAAAAACACTCTAGTGCGTGAATCATTATCTTAACATAAATCTGTGCTGAATATATTTTTCTTATTTGTRTTTTAGATCTGCCATGCAACAGGATACAATAACATCGATGTGCACATTAACTAAGACACCTCAAGTGGTAAAGAGTGTAGTTGCTTTGTGTATTTATTTGTACAGTACCACTTAAATAATCCTGTCTCAGAGAAACCAGTAAACATTGGGAGAAATTGCACGCAAATCAAGCGTTTCTTCTGCTCGTGCCTTGTAGAAAAAAGTACCTTATAATGGCATATGYGAGAATTGTATCAAATGAAGCATTGACTGCTATTTGTAAGATCTTGCGATTCCAAGCTTTTGCTGTCTACAGCATGGTCAATGAATGAAAAATGGAATCGCATATTAAGATGTTACAAATACCAGMCAAGGCTTCATTTGATACAATGCTAATATACGCATCATGCTGCTATAGGATAACTTGCCATACGTTGAAAGACATTTGTTTCAGATGTGACAGGCTGTTTTTTAGCGACTTAATCAGCGACTTAATTACTCTCCAGCCTTTTTGATTCAGTGTCTGTACTTTTTTATTTAAGATTGCTACGTGCAAAGAAACWGGACAGATAACATTCTACGATACTGTGTCTTGCACTGCCATCTGCCATGCAGCTTTACCTCAGCCTTACATGATAGATKCTAATTCTGTTCCATGTATAGCAGCAAATAACCAGGTTCTTGTCCTCAAAGGTGAGTGATATGCCCAGAAAGACATCGAGACCTTTAGTTCCTTTATTTACTGATGTGGTTATTGTCTGTAATTGTTTTCTTAGGTTTTTGCCCAGACCAAGACGCAGAGGAAGAAGAGGCTATGGTATGTAACATGAAGGACACTGAGAAGTTTTTTCTTTATTTCAGTTCGTCAGTATTGGTTAAAATCATGTCGCCAACATATCCCTTCACACTGTTCACACAGTAGATATACTGCACTAGTATGCTGTATGAATCTTCTGAATTCGACATTTGTAAATTAAATAAGACTCCAGTCGAATATACAGCAAATCGAGCATTTTGTGCGCTTTTGTCGTAAACTTCCTTTTGCGGGTCTTCAATTTCGCGATTCTACAAAGCGCGAAAATCGTGAAATTATTGTTTTTTTAAATATCACTGCCATCCCATGATGCATTGTGTGTTCTTCATGCATACACTTGTTCCTTTGCTCRTTCATTTATTCAGCCATTCAATATTTTATTCCCATTTATTCTAGATATCCACCGTGTTTACGTTCCCATTACAATCTTTTCCGTCTCTAAATCGTTACTGGAGAATGGCTCTAGAGAGCGAACCATACGGAATGGACARTACGATAGAAGCCCGAGTAAACTCGCTTGTACAAGACAGGTAAGTGAGTGAGGGGACGGAAGGGACGTTGCTAAAAACTTTATGTTAATTCAAAATATTGCAAAATGGCTCAAACTTTTTGCCCCAAAACAATTAACTTCAATGTTTATCGTTTTTCATTGCCTGTTTTTTTTTTTTTTGTTTGTTTGTTTGTTTTTTGTTTTTTTTGCGCTGTAAGTTGTCATTGTCTCGTCAAGCAGACGGTTTTTTTGTACCTATCAGACTTTCAAGCCAAGGAACACGTCAACTAAGAATGCAAGACAGATGGGGGAAATTCAAAGATGAACTCAGAAAGATTCACACTGACAAAAAACACATCAAAAACTCAGTTTGGTTAATGAAAAGCCATCAGGTAATAAAGATGCATTCATAAACATTGTAAAAAGTTCATTCATGTGTGATTATTTATTCATCAATTATTTGGGAATATTCATTCCATTTTGCTTTCATTTATTCGTTTCAATTCTGTATTTCAGATCGTCGATGCCAAAGGATGAAAACGCATTTTGTTCTATTTGTATTTATTGAAAATTACCTTCGTTACATGTAAAACGTTTTTCCATTTTCATCTGTAGAAGTTTCTTATAGTATTTTAACGTTTACTAATAAAAAGTTTGGATATGTTTTRAAGATGGTTCGTTTTAGTTTTTGAAATACAGAGAACTTTAGATTTGACAACGACAACTAGAGGGAAAACGAAATCAGAAACCCAATGAGAAACCGAAGAAAGAATAATACCACATTAAAATTAATACTGCAAAAACATACGTACATGACAAAATAATATAAGATTCGATTTAATCGTATGAGGAAGTGGCTGATCCCATTAAAGAGTGCTCAATACACATAAAGTGTAGAGCTAGTTATATATATGATATCAAAGAGGCAAGATTTTGCTGTAACTCCGAGTTTCCTGCTATACGCACTCATCAGACAGTGGAGTTACAGCAAAATCTTGTCTCTTTGATATCATATATATAAGATTCGATTTAATGGAGAAATGCAATCATTATATTTCAATGTTAAGTTTGTCCATTTTTCTTTATGAACCAGTAAAAAGATAAATTTAACACCGTAAAAAAAGCATGTGAAATAACTTACTGACGTTTCGGACGTTAATCCTTCGTCTTTACTCCGAATCCCACGGGACAAGTACACTCAAACGACCCCACAGTGTTTTAAGAGTTTCGGAGAACAATGCGTCCGCCATCTTGAAAAGTGGGACTCGAATCACTAAATTATAACTCCTAAAGAAATTAAAAGGTTCTAAGCTAATGTCAAGTTAATATAATATACGATATAATGATAGATTAGTTGACTGAGCAACTRCGAATTTTTTTCTAAAGCAAAACAGTGATTTTGGGCTCACTTTTCATAATGGCGGACGCATTGTTCTCTGAAACTCCTAATGCATGTATAAAGCTAAGCCCGCCATTTTGAATCGGTTTGCAATGTATCATGGGATATATATCTCCCTTCATCAAAACAAATCGCTAAAATCGTAAAAACACTAATTAGTTTCGATTTTTCCACAGAGAACATGTTTGTTTTCATTTTTGCTTGATTTGCCTAGTAAATAGAAATTCTCGATTAACTGTACATTTTTTGGAGGTTTTTCTTGCTGTATTTCCTTGCATGTTGATATTTGTTTGTTTTTTGAGATTAACTACAATATCAATATTTCCCAATACAATGTTTTTCGAAAACTGAGTCTACAGACAACTGGAGCACTGACATCATTGCTCCCTTATTTGTTTACTCATTTATCAATCCCAAAATGCATTGCGTCACAATACTTTCCGCGGGTTGCGATATTGATGTCCCCAGTACACTACAGACATTCTTGGTTCAGTGAGCCGTTTGTCTTTCAAATGAAAGAAGAAGAGTTAACTCACTCCAGCGTTGTTTGTGTTGTCTTTTATGGCGATTTAATTAAACTCAAAACAGCAAAGAGGTCAATCTTTATTTGATATTATAAAGAAATTTCATCATTTGAGGACGTATTTCTTACGGACAAAATTTTTGGTCCTACAGCAATATTGTATACATGCAATTTTCCATACTACCATGCACCCAGCATCATATTGAAAGGTAGCCTAACCTTTGCCTCAAAGCGAGTTGCAATGATGGATACCTGTGATTTATAATTGTCCTTGGTGAGATTGCAAGGTATCATCTATTTCTGCAGACTCAACTACCAGTATTGATGCAAAGGCTTGGCTACCTTTCAAGATGGCGCTTAGAACTGCAAAATGGAGTATTGGGAAAACGTAGGGTTTAGAAAAGGAATCAGAATTGGTTTCATAAATGTCTAATTCTTTGACTAATTTTACATAGCAATTTTTGCAGTATATTACCCCCGCCCGGGTATATTACATTACATCGTTATCAATTGTATTKTAAATCTATTGTTGTATGAATGTATAACAATACAAGAACACAATGCGATGCATAAATTTGTCAGAATATATACTCTGCAAACCTCAAGGAAACGGGACTATTTTTCAAGTGGTGAAATTCCATAAATTATTAACAGCAAATTGACAAAATAAAGTAGTCGTGATATTGTAAACGTACCTTTATTTAAACATAACCAAAATATAATTGTACAATCATACATCGTGCATGTTTTCATTATTTTTTGTTCGTGTACAGTCATTATCAAATATTCTGACCACTAACTATACATGTGATTTTTTTTTTAATTATATTGTAAATTGATGATTAGTAAAGTGTTATTCAAAGATATTGTACATTGAATTAAGGATTTAAAATGTCATCCCTATACATGTATATTGCTAAGTATATTAGTATTTAGAGTTTCTTCTACATTGTGCACCTCGTTGTACTTCATAGTGAGGTCATTAAACCCGTGAAACAAAACTTGATGATCAAAGTGTAACAGTAGAATAGAGTGAGATCATCAAATTTGTGAAAATCGAATAGACATAAAAGAAAACAAATAGAGTCATGTTCATCCATCTTGGAAAATAGGAATTGTCCTATTAAATAAAATTCCCTTCTATGAGCTCCCAATAGTTTAACTTATGACATGCGACAAACTAATTAGGCGAATACGGTTTTGATTTTGCCTTTTGGCAGCCTACTACAGTTACTATTAAACACTGACGACTAGTCGTCATTGCTTCACAGACGGATGAAAATGACTCAAATGTACTTAGGTTGACTTTCCTACTCCTTTAAATGTACAAACTGTACAATTTACTACTAAAATATTGTCTTGATTAATTAAGTAATGAAAGGATAAAGTGAAACAAAACTTGACTATTAATATGTGATAGTCAAATAGACACAACAGAAGACAATGCAATTATAGCGTATTAGAGTGATCGCGCTTAATCCGTGCAACTGTACAAACTAAATAGTTCTATTTAGTTGTATTTAGTAAATCGTGCATGCGGTACGCAAATTAAATTGAATTGATACAAATGAAGCATTCTATACCGTCTTGCTTCTGGTCCACTTTTAGTACAAATTAGAACTACTTAGATTTTGTACAGTTGCACGGATTAAGTGCGTTCACTCTCTAAGGTGAATTAATAATATCCGTTTCCCGGGTTTTTGACTTCAGTCTAGAGTGCTAACACTAAAGCATGAAAAAGTACTCGCAAAATAGTGCTAAATAGCACAATATAGAGTTGATTAGTCCATAGAAAACAAAGTAAATCGTATAATTCAGTTAAATTTAGTACTAAGTATTTAATTACGTTTTCGATAGTTACACGTTTGCACTCTAGCAAAATCTAATACCTATATTTTAATCTTTCTATGTTTCACAGATTTAGGGCGTTGATTCTGCATAATATACATTATATTGAATTTCACGAGTTTGTGAAACTGAACCTTCAAAACAGCTAAATTTACATGGAACTGGGCCAGATGCATCCCTCTATTCCTAATTTCTATTTTTTTTCTTTTTTTATAATATCGTTGTTTTAATTTTTTTGTTTTTGTTTTTAGCTATTTTCATTTTTCTTATTTTTTTTCGTAAACCGACAATAAACCTGTCGTAGATTCGCTGATCAGTAACCTAATCCAGGACGTTTTAATTTAAATTGTAAACCATTTTTTAATACGATCAGCAAAGTGAATAAACTAAGTACGCAAATCGACAAAAAGTTTCAGATACAAAACTTCCGCAATGTATTTCGTGCCGAGAGATTTTTGTTTCAATTATTGATCATTATATAATCTTATAAAACTTATTAATAATGCATGAGCTATTACTC